ATACGTAAATGGTGGTAATGTAGGAGAAGGCACTGAAGTATAACCTCCTGGGGGACCAGGAGGATGTGGAAGAGTCGTGGGATAGATTGGAACAGGGGGCGGAGGAGCCACAGTTGGAGGTGGGTAGCCGTTTCCAGGAGGTTGTCCATAACATTTGCGACAATCGCAGCAGTCTAAAAGTTAACGAATTAAAGGTTACAGGTTTTTCTCTTTGTAGTCATTTTTTCAAGTGAGTTTCGAGGTAGTCGTAACTTAAGGCAATTTTTTCAAAGTAGCTAAATTGGACAAGTTGCTAAAAAGACGTTGAGCAATAAATGTTTCAAAACTGCTACCTTTTCCTCCTCGATCGATGGATCCGAAGGGTCCGATGGTGCAGCAGCTGCATTTTTTGCATGTTAAACTCTGGAGAAGAAACAAGAATAATTTTAGTTCAATATACCGTTCTAACAATTAAAGGGTGCTTACAGTTTGTCCTACTGCAACATCGACGGGCTTTACAAACCGAGCATGCAAAAGAGAATGCGGCCTGATGGGTAAAGCGGTGTAATGAGGTGCCTGCGGCCCAGAGATAAAAGAAGATGGCCATCGTATGTAAGCCACTGTTGCTCCAGGCGGCCTTGGGTTACCGAAGAGACCTGCTTGAACTGTAAAGAGTCTCTGAATCTTTAAAGATACTATAACTTTGTTTCGTTACATTACTTAAATGGAACAATAAAGTCTGTGATAGAGTCGTTCCATAATTTTCCTCATTTCAGTATGTTTACTTTATCGTGCTTTTTGTGAATTTCTTTTCCTGCCTCAAAATCTGTTATCCTTTTCTTCCGTAACATCAACTTCTTGTTGACTTTATAGCTATAAAAGACAGTGCCAAATAGGCAAAAAAATTTTGAAAAAGTAAAAGACATTGATCTTTGTTTATTTGCATTTTGCTAAGGTTACAAATTACGAAGCTAAATTTAGCCAAAGTGCCTGAATATTATCAATTTATGGTAAACATTCTATGTCCCAAAGTGGTGAAGACTAGGTACTTTCAAACCAAGTTAGACTTGACCTTCTTTGTTGATTTGTTCGGAAAGCCTTGCAAGACTTTTTTCATTTTCTCATAGTACTGCGTTTTCTATAGATACTGTAAAACGGATAGATAGAGATTTATTAGAATTACCGCCACTAGCAGCTTTGAGCATGCTTGGATGCACCACATCAGATTAATCAGATTAGCAATTTTTGGTTATAAGTTTACAATTACAGCTGCGGCAATTCCACCTACTGCCACAGAACATAAACGTTCAGAACTTCAGAGGTGGTATCATTATTGCGCCATCAAGGCCTCTTTGCCTAATCCAAAATCAATCGTCACTGCATCCTTGATTAGGAAGACACGAAAGTTAAGATTTTTCGGATTACAGTTGGAAGGAGGAGGGATTTGACCAAAGTGATGTTCTGAGAACAACAAAACCCTTCCAAACACACCCAATAAGTCCAAAGTCGCTTGATTCAGACAGAAGAACATGAAAAGAAACTTTTTCACAGTTTTTATTTGCGTGAGCATAATTGTATCCTTGACAAGTTACAACATTATAAAGTCGGACCCGGAAGGTACATGGTTCTGCATCGACCGTTTCATTAATATGTAAGTACCTATCGAAATACCATTTCCTTCTGACGCTTCGTGTGAGCAATAACAATTTTCAAAAATGACGCGTCAATAGTAAACGGCTATAATAATATGAGGTCGAAATGTGAAAGAACTCAATTTAAC